TATCTTCTAAAACTTTCCATGTCCCAGCAATTAAAAAAAATGTTTATACAATAAAAGTATGGGAATCGGGTGGTATGCAATATGTAGTTAAACTCCAAGAATTTCCAGAATGTGCTGGCTCATTGTGTGTTAAGTCTAATGAGGAACATGCCACCTCCTGGACCCATCTGTTTAACAATTTACATTCATCTTTGTAGTTCTGCACCTCCAACATTGGACATTCTGGTCTCAGCTCCCACAGGTGCAGTGTCGTAAGTAGCTGTTCTGCCCGCCCCTTCCCTTTCCTTCCTCCTGTCCAATCATAGAGTGCTTTGCATTATGTGAACCCATTCAAAAAATACAAACCTATGAATGAACAGTGGAGGGGATGGGCGGGCAGAACTGTTGCTGAATGAGAAAGCCGTATAGCTGCTGTCAGAGCACCGGGAATGTAGTGATATCTGTACTCCCAATGCTCAGTAAAACTGTCAACTGTAAATGAAAGAGATAAGTTCATGAGGTGGCATACACCTTGTGGGCTTATATTGTAAGCCAGCACATTTTAGAGAGTGGCAGAATTCCTGGAATTTAGCTTAAAGGTAGAACCAAAGGCAAAAGTTGTTTGTTTTTCATTTTAGATAAGTAATTACTTATCTAAAAGTAAGGGAGGGTTATAACCCGTCATTTTTTTTTTTGCCATCTGTGTAGCATTGTGGAGATTTCCCTTTATGTCTTGTCTCAGAGCCAAAACAAGAAATAAGAGAAAATTCCTCAAAAGTGAAGGAACCCCTGGTTGTTACCAGGGTCAACAGAACTAGTGTCCCCATTGGAAGATTTCCCCTCTAATCCTGTTGTGGTGACATCAAAAGGTTTGGACTTTTATTTGGACTTTCACTTTTGGTGATAATGGTAAACAGGACTAATAGAGGGTAAATTTCCCGAACACAGACATAGACAGCAATAAAAACCTTATAGGGGATGCAATACCTCTGCATTCTATCCAAAATGAAAAAAAATGTTTGCCTTTAGTAATAATTTAGAAAAAATTAATTAAAACTGTTGTAAAGGCTCAAGTTTTTTTTTACCTTCATGCATTCTATGCATGAAGATAAAAAACCTTCTGTGTGCAGCAGCCCTCTTAGACCCCCAATACTTACCTGAGCCTCATTGTGATACAGTGTACAAGAGCCTCAGCTCTACGAGGATTCTCCCTTCTCATTGGCCGAGACAACAGCAGGATTCATCAGCGGGACAGAGTCATGGAATGGACACACAGTGCAGCGACTCAGGAGCGAGCCTGCTTGGGTGACCCCATAGCAAGCTGCTTGTTCTGGGGGCACTTGGCAGGAGATAGGAGCAAGGAGCGCCAGTGGGGGACCTGAGATGAGGAGAATCAGGGATGTTCTGTACAAAACCATTACACAGTGCAGGTAAGTATAAAATGTTTGTTATTTTGTTTTACATTTTCTTTAATATCACTTGAAGTCTATGTGAAGCTTCATTTTTTATAAATCGCCATACGTCAACTGATGAACTGAAAGTGAAAGCTACAAATACTTACTTCTGCACCAGTGATCCAGCATTCACATATTGTGCCTGAGTTCTTTCAGAGGCTGGGTCTTTTACTGTTTTAATTGGTTGATGCTAGAGGACATAACTGCTGCGCATGAGCATGGGTTCACTTATTCTGGCACACAGGTACCAGGCTGAGAATATACACTAAGCTTTGCACATGCACCTCAGTCTACATTGCAAAGACTGAACAGACAGCATGGGGTTTATTTACTAAAGCTGGAGAGTCCAAAATCAGACTCCCTTCTGCATAGAAACCAATCAGCTTCTAACCTCAGCTTGTTCAATGAAGCTTTGGCAATGAAACCTGGAAGTTGATTGGTTTCTATGCAGAAGGGAGTCTGATTTTGGACTCTCCAGCTTTAGTAAATAAACCCCACGTGTCTTCTATGATCAATAGCCCACCTCGCAGTTTGTTGCTTTTTATTACCTTTAGTTCGGCTTGAAGCATAGGCATAATAAAAACCGACTTTCAGATGTAAGGCAAAAAAGCATGTCAAACATTCCATACTATGGCTTATATTGGGTGGCAATTGCAGAATGATTACAGTACACATCAGCGCACATGTTATTTTAGGCTGCATTGGGGTTACATTCACACTGAATGCCATGGCAGTGCACCAATGCACACAACATGCATTTCTGTGCATTCTGGCACTACTTCAGCACACAGCTGTGAATGGTTTGAATTAACCTCCCTGGCGGTATGATCATGTCAGGAATTTTGTGCTGAAAGCGGTACCATTTTTTTGCATGGAAATATGTAGTTTTTAATTGTAGGCTGTAATTTTTAGGAATAACTCACTGAAATCTATCCGAAAAAGAGTCTATTAAACATTCCGGATATGATAAAACTTGAAACACGAAATCATAAATTATAATTTAATAAATAATCATAAAAAAATAATAATATAATAATTATAAATTTAATTCAATAATATAATCAAACCAAAAACACTGAAATTTGAAATACAGAGGCAAATTCGCACATCGCTGAGCAAAGTCGCAAAATCGTTTTCAGTGTCTGATGACAAATTTCCCCACAAATCATTATCACTCAATTCTGCAAGTGGTTCTGATTTACTATCGCTGTTCTAAAACCGCTTTTGATGTAAAGGGACGCTTTTTGGCCGCCATGGACTTTTCTAAGTTTCCAGGCAGAAAGAACAGTCAAAATGCAGGCAGGGCACAGGACAAAGCAGTGGGGACACAATGTATGTGAAATGCAGTGAAAAAGCAATGACAGCAAAAATGTCATTTTTTAAAAATTTCAAATTTCCCGCCGGTTCCGCCGCCCGAACGTTCCGACGTCACGGGGACCGGAACACGGAAGTCAGATGCCGGCATCCGCCGGAGGAGATGGACGGGGACGCTGCAGGGGACACATCGTGGGAGCGAAGGACAAGGTAAGTGCTGCAGGGACCCCCAGAGAACGCTGCATAGTAAGCCCGAGTGTAGCTCGGGGTTACCGTTCTTGGTATAGAAATTCTACCCCGAGCTACACTCGGGAACACCGCCAAGGAGGTTAAAGGAAAAAAGCATTTTAATCAGACTATAGTACAACCTTAACCTCAGCAGCCAGTCAGGCAACCAGTGTTCCAACACTTTGAAGGGTGCACAGCATTAGTTCTGGGAGAAGGGCCCCCACCCTACACCCAACATTAGCTCTACCAGGAGGTCCTGACCCACACCCCAGTGGCACTGCGAGCAATAAATTAACTAATTGCACACTACTGATCCCAAATAAATAGGGTGTGACAAGCGACCACTATTAGCCTAGGAAATCATGGCTTATGGAGGGATCCTCCAGGAGGGCCAGTGAAAGCCTGAGACAGGAAGCCAAAGCCTGGCAGGTGGATCCTTATTCACATCAGCCTGTCTTTACCTCAAATACCCAATCAGGTTCAGGGGAAATTTCTGAATTCTTAAAGCCCAATTCTGGCAATCTTAAACATGATCCCTTGCAATGGGGCTGCACCTGCAAGGGTTAATTGCTTGTTAGGTCTAGGGGACATAGAAAAAAAAAGCTCTGCTTACCAGATCTCCATGATACTAGACTGATATTCCTGCAGCATCTTCTCCTTCATGCTCGATCAGTCTGAGACCCTGACATCATCAAGACTAGAGATGAGCGAAGTATTCAAAAATTCGATTCGACTGATTCGGCGAATTCGTGGAAAAATTTCGATTCGAGTCGAATATATTCGCTGTGAATTTAACTTAAAAAAGGGTGTTTCTAGGCTTCAGAGAGACTTAATATTAGTGCTGAACACTGTACCTTTAATTTAAATGCCCTTGGAGTCTGCTGGGGAAGAGAAATAATACTGTCAGTCAGTATGACATGCAGATGAGTGCCGTCGATCTTAGAATCACCGCACACTTCACTCATTTGGGCAGTCACGGGGCCAAAACCAGAGTGTGGAGCCACAGTGTGGCGGTGGAGGCAGCAGCAATGGGAGGCCATACAGCACCCTATGACAAAAATGGAAACCACCAGCAGTGTGAGGAGACCTGAAAGTGGCACATGGCAGAGTGTGGCGATAGAGACAGCAGCAATGGGAGGCCGTACAGGGACCCATGACACACTCTGGACCTGGCAGCAGCATGAGGAGGCGGTACAGGGGCCCATGGCAGATTACGGGCCTGGCAGCAGCATGAGGAGTCGGTACGGGGGCCCATGGCAGATTACGGGCCTGGCAGCAGCAATGGGAGGCCGTACAGGGACCCATGACACACTCTGGACCTGGCAGCAGCATGGGGAGGCGGTACAGGGGCCCATGACAGATTACGGGCCTGGCAGCAGCATGAGGAGTCGGTACGGGGGCCCATGACACACTCTGGACCTGGCAGCAGCATGAGGAGGCGGTACAGGGGCGCATGACAGATTACGAGCCTGGCAGCAGCAACTTGGACAGGAGGACGTTCAGCTTCTGCACCGTCTGGTGCGTGCTCGCAAACTGTTGTCTCTTGGAAACGGATTCCAAGAAAGACTGCTGACGGAATCCGTGAAGAGGAGTAGCAGGAGAAGGAGCATCTGAACGAGCGGAATATGCCAACAAGCGACAACAGGGGCCCATGACAGATTACGGGCCTGGCAGCAGCATGAGGAGTCGGTACGGGGGCCCATGGCAGATTAGGGGCCTGGCAGCAGCTATAGGAGGCCCGTAATCTGCCAGCACCCTATGTCAAAAAATTCTACACACCAGCAGTGTGAGGAGACCTGAAAGTGGCACATGGCAGAGTGTGGCGATGGAGACAGCAGCAATGGGAGGCCGTACAGGGACCCATGAGAGACTCTGGACCTGGCAGCAGCATGAGGAGGCGGTATATAGGGGCCCATGGCAGATTAGGGGCCTGGCAGCAGCTATAGGAGGCCCGTAATCTGCCAGCACCCTATGACAAAAAATTCTACACACCAGCAGTGTGAGGAGACCTGAAAGTGGCACATGGCAGAGTGTGGCGATGGAGACAGCAGCAATGGGAGGCCGTACAGGGACCCATGAGAGACTCCGGACCTGGCAGCAGCATGAGGAGGCGGTATATAGGGGCCTATGGCAGATTAGGGGCCTGGCAGCAGCTATAGGAGGCCCGTAATCTGCCAGCACCCTATGTCAAAAAATTCTACACACCAGCAGTGTGAGGAGACCTGAAAGTGGCACATGTTTGGGGCATGATTCATGGCGGATTTAGTCAGTTGTGTCAGGAACTGGTGGTTTGAAATCCAGACTAATCCATGCCTGATTCATTTTCACAAACGTCAGTCTCTCCACACTTTGGGTGGACAGTCGTGTCCTCCGCGGAGTTACAATACCTCCTGCCGCACTAAACACGCGCTCCGATGCCACGCTACTGGCCGGGCATGACAGCCTTTCAAGGGCAAATTCAGCTAGTTGGGGCCAAAGGTCAAGTTTCGTTGCCCAGTAGTCAAGGGGATTGTCTACCTCGGTTGGCAGGGTGCTGTCCAAGTAGGCCTAAGCCTGTTGTTTGAGGTCCTGCTCCAGGTCCACCTGATGCTGCTGCTGCTGCGGCTGGTTAGTAGTTTCCTCACTGCGCTGGTGAAGAAAGCTACTCATCATCGACTGCAGACTGAGGCAGCCGCTGCTGGTGGAGCTGCCACTGCTCCTACCACCCCACCCCTCCCCTGCTGCCATGGCAGCGGAACGCGAGCGCACAGGGCCCACAGTGTCTGAGGATGGACGTTGGCGCAGAAAGGCAGAGACCAGCTGACTACATAGGTGGTTTTTATAGTACGTTATTTTGGCCTCCCTCTCAGCAGGTGTGAAAAAGGCCACCATTTTTGAACGGTAGCGAGGGTCCCAACAAGGTGGACAGCCAAAAGTCATCCCTCTGTCTGATGGTTATTATTCGGCTGTCGCTACGCAAGCAAGCGAGCATGCTATGGGCCATTTGTGCCAAGGAATGCGAGGGACTCCCTGCCTCCATCTCCACAGCATACTGCCACGGTGCGTCTGGGTCCTCTGTCTCCTTCTGCTCCTCCTCTACCCAGATGCTCCTGCTCCTCCACTCCTGTCCGCTGAGTGGAAAAACCACCCATTTCACTCAATAATTCCTGAGCACAAATGTCCTCCTCTACCTCCTCCTCTTCTTCCTGTCCTGCCCCCACAGGGGTCATGTGGCGTTGAGATCGGTGCGCCACGTCTACCGCACCCTGACCAGCCATTGTTAACAGCATTTGTTCCAGGACGTGCAACAGAGGAATGATGTCATTCATTCCCATAGTCCTGCCGACTCACGAATAGCGCGGCCTCCTCAAAGGGCCTGAGCAAGCGGCAGGTGTCACGCATGAGCTGCCAATGGCTGACATCGAAGTTACAGGGGAGTACCTTTATCCGCTGTTGTAACATCAGGAAATCGGTGATGGCCTTTCGCTGTTCGTAAAGGCGGTCTACCATGTGTAGGGTTGAATTCCACCTTGTTGCAACGTCGCAGATCAGGCGATGCTGTGGAATTCCGTTCTGCCGCTGCAGCTCAAGGAGGGTGTGCTTTGCGGTGTAGGAATGGCTGAAATGCATGCAAAGTTTACGTAACATTTTAAGGATGTCTTGCAGTGGGATGGTGGATTTTAGGAACCGCTTGACAACCAGATTGAACACGTGAGCCATGCATGGCGCATGGCACAACCTTACTTGACGCAGAGCAGACACCATGTTCTTTCCGTTGTCGGTCAACATGGTTCCATTTTCAGTTTGCGCGGAGACAGCCATCTGTCGACTTCTCTGTTCATTACACTGAGAAGTTCCTCCCCTGTGTGACTACGTTCGCCCTGGACCTGGCAGCAGCATGAGGTGGTGGTATAGGGGCCCATGGCAGATTAGGGGCCTGGCAGCAGCTATAGGAGGCCCATAATCTGCCAGCACCCTATGTCAAAAAATTCAACACACCAGCAGTGTGAGGAGACCTGAAAGTGGCACATGGCATGAGACACTGTGGACCTGGCAGCAGCATGAGGAGGCGGTATATAGGGGCCCATGGCAGATTAGGGGCCTGGCAGCATCTATGGGAGGCCCGTAATCTGCCAGCACCCTATGTCAAAAAATTCAACACACCAGCAGTGTGTGAGGGGACCTGAAAGTGGCACATGGCAGAGTGTGGCGATGGAGACAGCAGCAATGGAGGCCGTACAGGGACCCATGACAGACTCTGGACCTGGCAGCAGCATGAGGAGGCGGTATATAGGGGCCCATGGCAGATTAGGGGCCTGGCAGCATCTATGGGAGGCCCGTAATCTGCCAGCACCCTATGTCAAAAAATTCAACACACCAGCAGTGTGTGAGGAGACCTGAAAGTGGCACATGGCAGAGTGTGGCGATGGAGACAACCCGCAATGGGAGGCCGTACAGGGACCCATGACAGACTCTGGACCTGGCAGCAGCATGAGGAGGCGGTATATAGGGGCCCATGGCAGATTAGGGGCCTGGCAGCATCTATGGGAGGCCCGTAATCTGCCAGCACCCTATGTCAAAAAATTCAACACACCAGCAGTGTGTGAGGAGACCTGAAAGTGGCACATGGCAGAGTGTGGCGATGGAGACAACCCGCAATGGGAGGCCGTACAGGGACCCATGACAGACTCTAGACCTGGCAGCAGCATGAGGAGGCGGTATATAGGGGCCCATGGCAGATTAGGGGCCTGGCAGCAGCTATGGGAGGCCCGTAATCTGCCAGCACCCTATGTCAAAAAATTCAACACACCCAGCAGTGTGTGAGGAGACCTGAAAGTGGCACATGGCAGAGTGTGGCGATGGAGACAGCAGCAATGGGAGGCCGTACAGGGACCCATGACAGACTCTGGACCTGGCAGCAGCATGAGGAGGCGGTATATAGGGGCCCATGGCAGATTAGGGGCCTGGCAGCATCTATGGGAGGCCCGTAATCTGCCAGCACCCTATGTCAAAAAATTCAACACACCAGCAGTGTGTGAGGAGACCTGAAAGTGGCACATGGCAGAGTGTGGCGATGGAGACAGCAGCAATGGGAGGCCGTACAGGGACCCATGACAGACTCTGGACCTGGCAGCAGCATGAGGAGGCGGTATATAGGGGCCCATGGCAGATTAGGGGCCTGGCAGCATCTATGGGGGGCCCGTAATCTGCCAGCACCCTATGTCAAAAAATTCAACACACCAGCAGTGTGTGAGGAGACCTGAAAGTGGCACATGGCAGAGTGTGGCGATGGAGACAGACAGCAATGGGAGGCTGTACAGGGACCCATGACAGACTCTGGACCTGGCAGCAGCATGAGGAGGCGGTATATAGGGGCCCCATGGCAGATTAGGGGCTGGCAGCAGCTATGGGAGGCCCGTAATCTGCCAGCACCCTATGTCAAAAAATTCAACACACCAGCAGTGTGTGAGGAGACCTGAAAGTGGCACATGGCAGAGTGTGGCGATGGAGACAACCCACCGACTGTTTTGCTCGCTGCCAAGCTGCCACCCTCTCCTCTCCTGATGATGCGGAAGCAATAGCCTGATGACGACGAGGCTGCCAAGTGCGATCAGCCTCATCATCATCAATTAGGGTCTCCGCCTCACTACTAGCCCCCTCGGCTGCGTGTGGGTCAGGAGACAGACCTGTCTCTAGACCGGCTACCGAGCCACTCTCCTCGCCACTACTTCTTCGCCTGGCTGCTGAAGAGGCGGATGTCTCCCCCCGTTCCTGACCGCCCTCTGTTAGCTCTTCCTCACTGTACTGGATGACACCGGGAGCACTAGCCTCTGGCTGCGAATAGTGCTGCCTCGACCCCTTCCTCTGCTGCCACGTCTGCTCGCTCCTAAAACATTGCCTCCTCTGCCACTCCTCTGCATGTTGTCTGACATACTCTTTAATTAAACGATTCTGTGTCCCTGAGTAACAATTCTGTGTGTCCCTGAGTAACGTTTCTGTGGCCCTAAGTAACATTTCTGTGGCCCTCAGTTAACAATTCTGTCTGTCCCTGAGTAACAATTCTGTGTCTGTCCCTGAGTAACAATTCTGTGTCCCCCCTCAGTAACAATTCTGTGTCCCTCAGTAAAAATTCTGTGTCCCTCAGTAACAATTCTGTGTCTGTGCGAGTAACAATTCTGTGGCCCTAAGTAACAGTTCTGTGGCCCTCAGTAACAATTCTGTGTCTGTGCGAGTAACAATTCTGTGTCTGTGCGAGTAACAATTCTGTGGCCCTAAGTAACAGTTCTGTGGCCCTCAGTAACAGTTCTGTGGCCCTCAGTAACAATTCTGTCTGTCCCTGAGTAACAATTCTGTGTCTGTCCCTGAGTAACAATTCTGTGTCCCTCAGTAACAATTCTGTGTCCCTCAGTAAAAATTCTGTGTCCCTCAGTAACAATTCTGTGTCTGTGCGAGTAACAATTCTGTGGCCCTAAGTAACAGTTCTGTGGCCCTCAGTAACAATTCTGTGTCTGTGCGAGTAACAATTCTGTGTCTGTGCGAGTAACAATTCTGTGGCCCTAAGTAACAGTTCTGTGGCCCTCAGTAACAATTCTGTGTCCCTGAGTAACAATTCTGTGTCTGTGCGAGTAACAATTCTGTGGCCCTAAGTAACAGTTCTGTGTCCCTGTGTAACAATTCTGTGTCTGTGCGAGTAACAATTCTGTGGCCCTAAGTAACAGTTCTGTGGCCCTCAGTAACAATTCTGTGTCCCTGAGTAACAATTCTGTGTCTGTGCGAGTAACAATTCTGTGGCCCTAAGTAACAGTTCTGTGGCCCTCAGTAACAATTCTGTGTCCCTGAGTAACAATTCTGTGTCTGTGCGAGTAACAATTCTGTGGCCCTAAGTAACAGTTCTGTGTCCCTGTGTAACAATTCTGTGTCTGTGCGAGTAACAATTCTGTGGCCCTAAGTAACAGTTCTGTGGCCCTCTGTAACAATTCTGTGTCTGTGCGAGTAGTAACAATTCTGTGTCTGTGCGAGTAACAATTCTGTGGCCCTAAGTAACAGTTCTGTGTCCCTGTGTAACAATTCTGTGTCTGTGCGCGTAGTAACAATTCTGTGGCCCTAAGTAACAGTTCTGTGGCCCTGAGTAACAATTCTGTGTCTGTGCGAGTAACAATTCTGTGTCTGTGCGAGTAACAATTCTGTGGCCCTAAGTAACAGTTCTGTGGCCCTCAGTAACAATTCTGTGTCTGTCCCTGAGTAACAATTCTGTGGCCCTAACTAAAGTTTCTGTGGCCCTAAGTAACAATTCTCTGGCACTCAGTAACAATTCTGTCTGTCCCTGAGTAACAATTCTGTGGCCCTAATAACGTTTTCTGTGGCCCTAAGTAACAATTCTCTGGCACTCAGTAACAATTCTGTCTGTCCCTGAGTAACAATTCTGTGGCCCTAATAACGTTTCTGTGGCCCTAAGTAACAATTCTCTGGCACTCAGTAACAATTCTGTCTGTCCCTGAGTAACAATTCTGTGGCCCTAATAACGTTTCTGTGGCCCCAAGTAACAATTCTCTGGCACTCAGTAACAATTCTGTCTGTCCCTGAGTATGAATTCTGTGGCCCTAACTAGCGTTTCTTTGTCCCTAAGTAACGATTCTGTGGCCCTAATTAACAATTCTGTGTCCCTGAGTAATAGTTCTCTGTCCCTAAGTATCGTTTCTCTGTCCCCAAGTATCGTTTCTGTGGCCCTAACTCTGTCCCTGTCCCTAATACAGAGCGGTCTGCCTCTGTTCAATGACTGCAGGCAAATGAAGAATTCCAAAATGGCCGCTATTTATAGCTCGACCATTACACAGTGCTAGCTGGCTGGCTGCTGATTGGCTGATGCGATCACATGTCGTTGAGGAATGCATTATGGGTCAGCGCGCCTTGTCTGCGCGCCTTCCCAGACATCCCCGCTCCGTCGCCGCACATGTCAGCCGCCATTTTTGGAAAAATTTTGATTCGCGAAATTTTTCCGATATTCGACTCGAATTCCACTTCGGCTACTTCGATTCGCTCATCTCTAATCAAGACCAATGCAGGGTCCACAGAGGCAGGACACCAAGGGACAGGATGTGGGGGAGTGGCATCTACCGAGGGAATAGAAGATTAGGCAAGTTAAAGCAGAGCTCCACCCAATAGGGGAAGCTCTGCTTTAAGGACTCATCCCCTGCTCCCCATTGAGGATTGGCACCTTTGGGGAGCACGTACCTGATTTTGACACCTACCAGCTCCCACTTCCACTGTGATCACCTAGGTGATCGGAAGCGGAAGTTGTCCTCCCTCCCAGTAGTCTTCTGAGACACGTGACAGGTCCCAGAAGACTAAGGGACCATGCAAGCCATTCACAAGGAGCAGCGCTACTTGCGCATGCAAAATGGGCACCCAGTTGTGAAGCTGCAAGCTGTCACAACCAGGTGCCCTCACTTAAGATTTCGGCACCAAAGAAACTGGCTACAATGAGGACCCTGGATTGAGTGACAGGCAAGTGTCTGTTTTTTCAGCAGCTACAGTTTTTTTAGATTTTGACTGGCACTCCGCTATAAAGTATAACAACGTTCCCCCAGACAAAACAAGCAGTTAGACCCTACAGCGCAAAATGGGAAAGGTGAAAGTCCAGCCTATTCCTAATTAAGCTTAAATCTGCTCCCACACTTCTTCTAAACTCAGTTCTATCCTGGGAAAGGAAGACGTGTATACTATTCTGAGGGTTATCCAGTGTGGTCACATGATTACACCGCTTCAGCTGTGACACCCCCCCCCCCCCCGCCCCCCCAAAAAAAGTCAGCAGTTATCTTGCAGCTCCAAGCACTTTCAACGGCACTGGAACACAAAAATGATCAAATGGATTAAAGCAATCTACACTTTATCTACAATATATGGCAATGATGGCAGTAGATGGTATTAATCTGTTTGATTGCTTTTGCAATTTTAGAACATAGCAAAAGTGGCAGAACAGGGCAGTTTTTATGGCCAACATTAAAGTTTGTCTTTCGATCTGATTTATTCAACAGACCATGGATCCATTAGATGCAACAGGGATGTACTTACATACCAGGCTCAGTACTGTGAAGACACTAATTCACTAAAGTCAAACTTCAACCCAATTGTGCAAAGAGTTAATAACTAGGCAACAATCCTTTCTAACAAAGCAGTGGCTGATCAGGGTTTAATGCTTGGATAAAATTTTTTTTTTATTTAAACATTGATTTTTTTTCAAATTACTTTAATTTTAAGGTTCAGGAATGAGCCCTTACAATGACATATGCAATAAACATTAGCATCTCATATTTAATATTACTTAGCCCATGCTATCTTTCTTAATAAAAGCGAAATCACCATATTTAAAATACTTACTGAATTACGTCAGGGATTTCTAAGCCTGAAATATTTGTGGCTGTATATGTTTGGATGACGGCCATTCTGTTATGCACATAACAGAACAGGGAATCAAGGAACATGTTTTTTACCTTATAATGTAATTCACAAGGGTCTGTTATTAAATGTTTTCACCCAAGATTCATACAATTTTCACCTAAGATTCTCACATTTTTTGTAATGAGATTTAATTGGAAAAATGCATGAATCTTGTGTGAAAGTTGTATGAATCTTGGGTAATAACATTTTTAAATTTTCTCCAAATTAATAATACTTTAATGCACTTAAAACCTGTTTCACAAATGAGCTCCAGAGTTGCCACACTTTTTGTGTATGAATAATGTGTCACTGGTGGTCAATCAAGAAGATTCAATTCCACTAAGCAATTATGTGAAAATACATCCCTGTTTAGTTATTTTTATCAGCACATGATTTGCTAATTGAAATGGATCGTCACAAATTTTATTGGGTGAACATTCTCAGATCCTTTAGTTAATGAGCCTTATGGTGTTGTACAAGTGTTATCCA